CCCAGGAGTCAAATAAAGAGGCAAAGTAAAAGATAGACAGGCCACCAGAAGAAAAAGAGCATTTATTTCCTACCCTCAGACCTGGTATCAGGAAAAAAGTTCTTCAAGCCACTTTCCTGAAATAGACCAAAGATTTAGAAGAGAAGAATCAAGAAGTTCAACAAGGAACAAACAACGAGAAAAGATGAGCAAAAACTTTTAAAAAGATAAAAGGACAGATCAAACTTGTAGAAAAAGGTGTTACATTTCCAGCAAAAATTTATACGAAAGCAATATGTATGAGTTATAGAATTTTAAAAAATGAAAATACAGTGAAACTGGACTTTGAAGAATACAGCATAATGAACTTACAAAAAAGTCAATTAAGTAGAAAAGTTTTATTAAAAGTAATTTCTGCATTAGTTGAAGGCATTTGTAATTTACAATTGCTTTTTTATATGCAGGCTTTCCTTTTGTAAAGTCACGTCTCCTGCACTCTTCCCTGCAAGTCACTAAGATAGATTTTTTTAAAAAAACAACAACTGCCCAGCTTTCCAGGGCTTTGTGTCTATTGAGTCTGAGTCAATCTGGTTATTGACAGTTCAAAAATAGAACCCACAACAAGTGATTGCCACCATCTTGGCTTTTTTGATCCCTCGTGGACACTCCTGCTTTGTAGAACCAGTAATTGCTGGCCTTAAAGTGTCCTTGTGTATTCAAATTAACAGAAAAATGAAGATATGGGGCGGACTTAGGTGGCTGGAGAGGTGATGGGAGTGAATACTAGTAAAAATAAACATGTGTCATGTGAGGAAGACACTATGGTATGGTAAGTAGTATCTGGCTGACCTTAACCGCTATACAAAAACAGAGTTGATTAATATTTGGATAGAAATCTATTGGAGAATTCTATGATTGTAAGCTAAAGAAAGGTTTTTTTAAAAAAAAATCCAGAAGGAAGTAGCAACTTCAATTATATATTTGCCAAGGAAACTGCATAGATGTGGCCATGTAATCACAAAGAGTCAATTCTCTCTATATTTTATTAGTTTTAAAACAGGTTTTTCTGTCACAAAATATTAGCAAGTTTATAAAAGCTTATTTAATATGCTATATTTCTTCTAACTAAACACATACTGTACAAATTAAGATATTATTTTTGCTTGTTTAGTCATAAATATAATGCACTGCTTTTGAATGCACTTTTGAATGACTTAATTCCCACCAGTAAAACCTGTTTCCCAACATTAAGAGAGGTGAATAGAATGCATTGACCCAAAATATTGACTAATTCAGCAAGAAGGAAACACTGATACGTAAAAACAACATCATTTCTTTAAGACAAAATAAAGGAGGGAGGTGAGTTTTAAAAATCTAGAAATCATATCCTTTATATGCAATTGTAACATCATCTTTACACAAACTAAAAAAAAACTTTTCACAAACCAAGATAGGGATTTTGCTTATTTATTCTTCTTTGCCAATGTACTATATGGTATTGCCTTTTCTGTTCCCAAATAAGAATTTCCTATTTTGTTCTACAGAAAGTCTTCAAATTACAACCGCAATTGGAACCTACCCAATCAGTGGGGAAGCTGGAAGGAAGTTGCATGTCTTGGCTTGGAAGGCAGGTAAGTAACTGTTGCCAGGTGGGACAGAGATCAAGGGGACAGAGGGAAGGGTGTGTGAGGATTCAAGGGAGTGCTGAGAGGCATGGGTCAAAGAGCATTGAGGGAGTGCATGAGGGTGCAATGGAGGCATGGGTTCAGGAAGGGTGCACAAAAAGTCTCACCCAGATCAGAAAATATGCACAGTTGGCTGGTACAGGCAGAGAGTCAGGTTGCACAGATGGGGGAGACTTATCCCAGCAACTTGCCACCTTTCCTGCTGGTTTCCCCACTAATTTTCTGGGGAAGCTAGCAAGGAAGGTTGCAAAGAGTAATCATGTGATCACAGGAAGTATAATCTTCCTCCCTGTATTCCCTACTATGTTATTTTATGCAAGTAGTATTAAATTTTGATAGTTATTGGAAAACTGCCACCATTTGAAAGCTCTAGAGCAACAGGTGCTTACTAGCATGTGTGGAGGGATTTATTTTCAGTGGGATAGCGCAATTTATTTATTTATTATTTATTAATCCAATTTATATGCCACCCTTCTCCATAGACTCAGGGCGGCTTACAATGCATTATAGCAATAGCCTGCATACTTTTTTGTATATACCTGCTTATTAGGGCTTTCGCCCCCCCAAGCGGTGTTGTTCTATACAAAGTTGGCTTATTGCCCCCACAATCCGGGTCCTCAATTTACCTACCTCGAAAGGATGGAAGGCTGAGTCAACCTTGAGCCTGGTGAGATTCAAACTTGCACTAATTGCAGGCAGCTGGCACCTAAGTGCTAGCACTTAACAGCACTTTAGTTAGCTGCACCAACGAGGCATGATGTGATAATCTGTATCACTCTGAACACAGAACCAATACTGGAATCTTACCGCCTCGAGTTGGAGGCATACAATTCTTATAAATAATACTTTTAGGAAAAGGTATGAATGAAATTATAATTTTATTCCAGGCTTCTATAATTTGCTTTAGAACTAACATATTGGATTATTGTACATTGCTCCTTTTGTTACTGTTATCTCTAGAGGGATGGTTGTTTTTAGTTTTAATTAATTGTTTTCTGTATAATGATGTTCTGTTTTTATTTTTCACAACATTCTGGGAATTTCTAAGAACAAATGCTAGAATAAATGTTTGAATAAATGCAAACAAAAATATTTGACTTGATATATCCCCAAATGTATATCTCAAAGTTTTGGAGTTTGAAATGAGAAAAATTTGTCTCTTTGGCCTTCATTTATTAGTTCATTACACCATATACCATTTTGAAAGAAGAGATATTATAATATTACAAGTTTTACTAAAAGGGCAATGTTAATTTTTTAGTGTTTGCTACCTGCTATGGCTTCTATATATTTAACCTATGAAACCCTTTTTTCCCTCTCATTCGGCAACCAAAGAAATAAGCTGGCAGCCTTAGTGGATAAACTGTTAAAAATTAGGAAATTTAAAAATATTCAAGCTGACAATCTATGGATGAAAGAATGAAAATAAATGAGATAGATGAAGTCTCTATTGTACCATGAAGACATCATGGAAATGTTATGAATAACTAGGGATGCCCAATTAAATCTTAGCCAATTGATCATGTACAGTTAAGTCAATCAAATGATTAAAACAACATTAATTATTGTTTCCCATGAGTCAGTTTACACTCTTGGTGAGTTTTTTTTCCCCCTTCCCAATTTACCTGCTCTAATCTATTGGATTTCCTCATTATCTCTCATCCATATACTGTCCAAGTCAAAAACTACTTAGCTGAAGTTATGGATTTCATTTCCTTTGATTTTATGTTTTTTTTTTAAATGTAATCATGGTTTTCTGTTTAATTTCCCATATTTATAATTTTGGAGTCGTAATTCCATAAATTGGGCAGCTATATAAAACTTTTAAATAAGCTTGGCCAGATCTGCCTTTTTTTGTTGTTGTTGTTGGCATGGATACAGAAAAAAGAAATTAATTCTATTTAAAGATTAGGGACAATACATGACTATGCAACAAGGGGGAAAGATCCCCTTATGCAAGGAGGCAAAAACACTGGATTAATCCAATTTGTCGACTACAAATGGCTAGGCTTACAAACATTACTTGAAAAGCTGACTCCTCTTCGTTATACAAATGATAGATGTTATATAGAATAGAATAGAATAGAATAGAATAGAATAGAATAGAATAGAATAGAATAGAATAGAATAGAATAGAATAGAATAGAATAGAATTTGTTATTGGCCAAGTGTGATTGGACACACAAGGAATTTGTCTTGACGCCTATGCTCTCTCAGTGTACATAAAAGAAAAGATACATATGATACATAAAGATATGTATAAAGATAAACAGAAGCGTATCGAACCTATTTTGAATTTCCTATCTGACATCTATAAGCGAAGATCAAGGCAGTACATCCGGTGAACTCCACAGATATTATCTATAATCAATACAGATACTGAAGAAAAGTTACACAAGCATGATGAATGAATGGGAGAATCAGTGGAAGCCCGCAGCGCCGGCTGCAGCCGCTACCATTTCTTTCCCCACCTCCCGAAAGATAAGATCGCGGTTCGCGGCAACCGCAAGATCGATCCCCTTCGGTCGCCCAGAAGAAGGCAGCGAAGCAGCGAAAGGCGCAGCGCCGTCTCCGAGCTTCCAGGCCAAGCCGAGCAAGCGCCGAGTCACAGATGTCGGAGGTGGGTAGTTCGATGAGCTCTGCGCTCCCCGCCATTTTGGGCGCTTGAGGGGGGAGCGACGCGGTGGCGGCGGCCGGAGCGCTCCACCTCGGCCCGGCTGTCTCCTCTTCCTCCTCCTCCTCCTCCTCCTCTTCTTCTTCCTCCTCCTCCTCCTCTTCCTCCTCCCCCTTTCCTGATTGTGGCCAAACCGTCTCTCCGGACTCAGGTATTAACGCTGCTTGATCCTAGGGAGGGATAGAGTAGGGCGAGGCTGGACGACGCCCGGCAAGAGGGGCTCCTTGCCACTTGGTCCCCCTAACCCGGTCCGGGATGACAGATCCTTCCCTTGACCGTGGTGCATTTTTCTTCTCCTTTCCTTCCGGCTTTGCTCGTTCAAGCTGAGCGAAGCGTATTCACTCTTCATTTTCCTTCTGGTTTTCTCTCTCTGGGTTGATGCATTCCAAATCCCGCGCAGCAGTCCCATTGCAGCAACCCATTTCAGAATAACGGAAGAGTTGGAAGGGACGCTGTAAGGTCATCCAGTCCAACCCACCCACCCGCCCTAGACAGGGAGACCCCTGTCTACACCGTTGTGAAAGTGGTCCCATCATTTCAAAGGACAGTGGGTTTTTCTGAGGGTTGGAAGGGGGCATCAAATGCAACTTCACATTTAGTAAGAATGCAACCCGGTGCCCAGCTTTTCATAACTGATGTTGCTTTTACCAAGTGGGGGAGGTCAAAGAGGCCCCCCCCCCCCCCCCAAATTGCTGCATCTGGAAAGCAAGGGAAGGCAGAAGACTGCTATGGGTTAAGGGCTGCTTTAATAAGGGCTGTGGCAGGTTGGATGGTGGGGCAGACAGTGCTAAGGGTTGCTTATTGGCAGCTCTTACAACTGAACTCCTAAAATACAGCTGTCCTCGACTTACGATCACAATTGAGCCCAATATTTATATTGTTGCCCCATTTTAACGACTTTTCTTGTCACATTTGTTAAGTGAATCACTGAGGTTGTTAAGTTAGTAACATGGGTTGTTAAGTGAATCCAGCTTCCCCATTGACTTAGTTTGTCAGAAGGTTGCAAAAGGGAATCACATGACCCCGGTACGCTGCATCCTTCATAAATATGAACCAATTGTCAATAGAATAGAATAGAATAGAATAGAATAGAATAGAATTCTTTATTGGCCAAGTGTGATTGGACACACAAGGAATTTGTCTTTGGTGCATATGCTCTCAGTGTACATAAAAAGAAAAGATACATTCGCCAAGAATCATAAGGTACAACACTTAATGATAATCATAGGGTACAAATAAGCAATCACTGTTATTAACATCAGCTGCCTGCAATTATTGCAAGTTCAAATCTCACCAGGCTCAAGGTTGACTCAGCCTTCCATCCTTTCTAAGGTAGGTAAAATGAGGACCCAGATTGTGGGGGCAATAAGCTGACTTTGTATAAATATACAAAAGTATGAAGGCTATTGCTTAACGCATTGTAAGCCGCCCTGAGTCTTCGGAGAAGGGCGGCATATAAATCAAATAAAAAAAAAATCATACTAGGAAACAACATAAATCGTAAGGAGTTACAGTCGTAAGTGGGAGGAGATGGATGATAGGAACGATGAGAAGATTAATAGTAATGCAGACTTAGTGAATAGTTTGACAGTGTTGAGGGAATTATTTGTTTAGCAGAGTGATGGCGTTCAGGAAAAAACTGTTTTTGTGTCTAGTTGCAGCTCTCTATAGCATTGTTTTGAAGGTAGGAGTTGAAACCATTTTTGTCCAGTATGCAAGGGATCTGTAAATATTTTCACAAGCATCCAAATGTAAATCACCTGACCATGGGGATGCTGCAACGGTCATCAGTCACTTTTTTCAGTGCCATTGTAACTTTCAACAGTCACTAAATGAACTGTTGTAAATCAAGGACTACCTGTAACTAGTAAAGTGGGAAAGTCAAGATAGATGTTAGTTGGAGAGGAAAGTGGCATGAGCCACTCCTCCAAAATTACCTCCAAGTAAACAGAACTGAATGAGTGCCTCGCCCTCTGTCAGTGAACAGGCATAACAGCCCTGATGTGCTCATGAGTATTTGGTGCTATATGTACTGACATAAGACATGACCTTTCAGAAGCTGTGATTAAACGTTACTGTTTGTGCTCCATTCATATTTTCCTATTTCAGTTTTTCACAGCTAGTTTTTCATAGGAGGACGGACACATCTCCCTTCTCCTTTTAGGAACTCTCAAAACAGCACGAACCTTAGAGATTTCTTCGCATTTTGAGATGGGAAACATTCAGAGATTGTAAGGAAGATCCTAAAACAGACTTAACATATTCTTTATTTATTTATAAAATTTATAAGATTATAAACAGCCTTACTCCATAAACTCTAGACAGTGTACAAAATAAGTTAGAATTAGAAGAGCAATATTGTTAATAAACTAAATGAAAAAATAAACAGTAACAGAATTGTATTTCCATTTTAGTGCAGTTCTTTTTGTAGGTGCTTAATCTTCAAAAAAATGTTCCATTCTCATCATCAGCCTCCCTGTTGCATTCATATTTGACACACAACAAATTTTAAAGGCAATCTCATCTATCAAACGTTTGCCTTTTCTATATTGGTAAACTTTTAGGACAGTAATAAACAACATATGTTTAGCGCCGATGTGGCACAGTGGTTAGAGTGCAGTATTGCAGGCTACTTCAGCTGACTGCTAGCTGCAGTTCAGCAGTTCAAATCTCACCAGGCTCAAGGTTGACTCAGCCTTCCATCCTTCTGAGGTGGGTAAAATGAGGACCCAGTTGTTGGGGGCAATATGCTGACTCTGTAAACTGCTTAGAGAGGGCTGGAAAAGTACTATGAAGCGGTATATAAGTCTAAGTGCTATTGCTATTGCTATATTCTCTTCAAAAACAACCTGTAAATTGATAACATATAAATATTCCAAGAAATTTAAATATAATATATATTCACTTGTTTTCATTTAAATTTCCAATTTAGTTTGCATTTTAGTTTTGGTTGCTGTAAGTTTTTGTAGGTGAAAGATGGGAAATAAGAGTAAAATAGACTAATCTAGGATTTTCATGTGTCTTTTAATGTTATGGCCCAAAGAAACAATTCTATTTTACATAAAATTGTTCAGAAAAAGCTCACTTCATAAATGTGAAGTACACTTCATAGTATAAGAGAGGAATCACAACAGTGGCTAAAATTTCACCCCATTTTAATCATACATTCTTTTATTTTTGTTCTTCTGTCTCGTATATTAACAGAATTTTACATGTTTTAGCAATACCATGATCATCATTAGTAAGATCATTTTATCTCAAACTCTGCCATAAAAACCATAAAATCTAACCTAATTGGAAGTTTCTTCTTTCTATTTATTTTTAATCTTTGTGCACTTTTGTAGTTTTCCTTTTGTCTTTTTTATTTTTTTCTTCATTCTGTATTAGTTTGTCTTAGTTTTTATTTTCTCTGTAAAATTTTTAATAAAATTTACACAAAAAATGATTTACATAACTACTGAAATTTTTTAAATCGCCTTAGGGAGTGAGTGAAACAAATTACAACTAAATGTCATAATAAATACATAAGGTGCTCTCTTAACTGTTGCTATGATTAAATTTAACCTTATTTGTTTCAGCTTGCAACCAAACAGGACTTTTAACTACCGAATGCAGAAGATTAGGAATTATGGATATGAAATTCAATTCTTCTCGGAAATACGTTTCTATCAGCATACCATCAAAATCCCAAGCTATGTCGCCACATATCAAATCAGTAGATGATATAATTGTCCTCGGAATTAATCTCAGCAAATTTAACAAACCTACACAGTTTTTTATTTGTGTTTTGGGAGTCTTCCTGTTTTATCTTATTTATGGATATCTGCAGGTATGCACTATCATTCTTTGTGTGTGATTGTAAAAAAATTGCCAGAAAACAATTTTTATGGCTTATAGCAATTTTGATGCAGCTGTAAGCTTTTTAAAATAAAAGGAAATTCTATTCTTATCAAGATAAACGGACATTTGCACATTTGAAGAAAAGTGGGAATGCCCACTCATTAAAACTTTTTTAAAAGTTTTGCAATGTTCAGAATCCATTGAAAAAGTTCAGGTAGACATTAGTATTAGAAAGTTTTATTCAACTGAGCATTAAGGTAAATTATAAATTTGGGAATTAGCAAGAATTTAAATTTTTGTAGTGATTAAAGAATTATTACATCTTTAATAATATACTTGAATATCTAAAATATAAACCTGAAAAATACATGTTTTGCAAATATGACTTTTCATTAGTTGTATTATTTTCTGAAATGTAATTTATTATATAATCCATCTGGCACCTTGAAAATTGTTGAGAACACCATAAGTAAAATAGCTAATAGTTATCATAAAGCAAACATTTAGATTTAGTAAAAGCGGTTTTAAGCATTATTTGTTCCAAGGTAAACTTTGGGCAATGCAGTTTATGGGTCTTATAAACATGCTGTGAGAAAGATTTCTTACAAAAACAAAACTAGATGTCAAGAAAAAAGAGCTTATAAATTTTCTCCCTACTTTGCTAGTACCTAGCTGCTGGGTTTTTTTTTTTATGTAATAGTATTCAAGGGAGTTGTCATCTTGAATCAGAAGTGTCAATTTGAAGTGAACATACAATCATCGTGTATATTCACTTCATAAGGTAAACAGTCATAATGTATGTTTTGAATGATATTTTTGGGTTATCTAGTCCCATTCATACAATTTTTCACATAAGAGAAAAGACAGATTGTCCTTGTATAAGTGCAAAATAGGGCAAACCAGAAAAATATATCTGAATAATGAACAGATAGGAGAAGCAACAAATATAAGTTGTGGTTTTTTCCAGGGAATTTCGTAAGGATCAGTGAAATACTCTATAAAGAGACTAATGAAATACTATATGATTCAAGAACTCTACTGAGTGACTAAATGATCCCTGACTGATCACACATACAATTCCCATTTGAAAACCACCACTAAGGAGTCTACCACTATTCTGAGAATACTGTTCCATTATTATGTTACCACATATTCCTGTCAGGAAGTTCCTTCTCAGCTTCAGTCTAAATTGCTTTTCATTTCAACCATTAGTCCTCGTCCTGCCTTCGTTTTCTGCCCATTCTTGTGCATTTTAGAGATGTCATGTCTATTTCAGCCTTAACTTTTGTAAACTAAAATATGCCCCAAATCTTTAACCATTCTTTGTAAGGCTTGGTTTCTGGACTTTTGTTCTGGTAGCTTTCCTTTGAATATAATCCAGACTCACCATGTCTTTATCTAGAACTGGAGGCAATTTTCCAAGTGCTCTCCAACTATTGCAGAATACAATGGAATTTTATTTCCTGTTATCTGAATACAAGGTTTTTGTGGTATAACCCAAGATTTCTTTGATGTGTTTAGCTGCTGCAGAACCATGCCTACTCATACAAAGTAATCCTTTGCACTGGTAATTAACATCTGTTAGTTACCAGTTAGGCCTCCAGATCCTTCCTGCATATACTGCATCTAAGCCAAGTATCCCAATATTGTATATAGGCATTTGATTTTTCTTACTCAGAATCATATTTCTCAAAGAAGACACACATAATTTTAAGGTTTCAGTCCTGATGAAAGTGACAATGACTAAATTCCATATTGCCAGCAACAACATAGATGCAAGAGAAGGCCTTCAATCTCCAATCTGTGGATTAATTTCCATCTTCTGCACTAAAAAAAATAGCATCAATTGGAATTTAAATTTCAATAGAAATGACTTTGTATTTGGGTGAACCAGCAACAAAATGCATATTGAGCCTTTTGTGAAAGTTATATAGTACACATTGGCGCATTTTATACCAGTTTCACATAGTCATTGATGAAGTTTGAACTGGATGTGAGCAGCTCAGTGAAAACAGGAAATGAATGTGCAGCTGGAGTAAAATTAGCAAATATTATGCAAAAGTTTGAAAATAAAATAGCAATAAAATGCAGCTGTTCTGAATAATACTAAAGCAGGGTTCTTTTTTTGTTGTTTTGGATATGCCACAATGGCTTGCTTTCTATGCTATGCTAAATCATAATGGGGGAGTTTGTGTATCGTACTGAACAAAAATAACAGTGTACAAACTCGGCTACAATCAACCTTTCATGTAAGCAATATTCCCATGTTTTCCTTGCTTTCGGATTGTTAGTGCCTTGCACTTGTAGCTGGCTCAGGGCTTGTATGGGAAGCAAGTCAAGTAACTACTAACTGCAACTGGGATTGAGCATGATGTGCAATCAGTAACTGACAAAACATGAGTTTTTTTTCTCTAAAATAAACTATGGTTCATTCACTGATTCATTTGCGCATCATCCTAAATCAGAGATAAACAAACCACTTCATTATAATGTGAGAAGGCATATGGTTTCAAAAGGTAATTGGTTGATATATAATAATTAAATGGGACATATGGGGGGGGTTGTCTTTTTTATGTATTTCTTCTATTTATACTAATATTGATACTTGTGTTATACATATTGGTGATGTTCAGCTATTAAGTACATTAATTAATCCCAAATTCATTTGAAAGTTAATCAGTTCTATGTAGCTATTGATATAATAATGTCATTGATTATACCTGATAAAGACAACAAACAATATAAAAATTTCTCATCCAAAATTAAATTGAAAGCTGATACTACAACTCATATAATATTTTTATATACCTATTTTGCAATTTGTTTCTGTCTCCTTTCTAGGAGCTGATATTTTCAGTAGAAGGCTTTAAATCCTTTGGCTGGTATCTTACATTAGTACAATTTGGGTTTTATTCCATTTTTGGACTTATAGAACTACAGCTTATTCAAGACAAGAGGAGAAGGTATGATTTTTTTTTATAGTCTTAAAATTCAATTCTTCGAAGCTTGATTCTTATATGTAGTTTTACTAAGTGGACAAAATTTATACAAAAATTTAGCTCCGGTTTGTAAAATAAAGAAAACTATAGGGACAAGTAATATTCTTCAGCAAACTACATGTTAACTTATGAAACTGTCTGGAACTAATGAGTTTTCAGAACATGAGTGACTTTTAAATATACATTTTCCTCTTTCCCCCACTCCATTTTAAAATGGAAAATACTTATATATAAATGTAATTTTGGATCCCCATATTAATTAGTACAGAAATACAATTAATAAAATATTTTTCAGCAGCATGCATAACTTTCACATTTAATTTACAATTAAAAGGAAACCTATATTTTGTGAGTTTATAGAGAGCTTTTCTACACATAAAACATATGAAATAAGAGTTATTTAAAACTTTCAAAAGATTTTTTTTTTAATTGGCTTAACATACAGTGAAATGCTTCTTAAAATCTGGAACCCAGTGATCTGTGTGGCTTCTATGCATAAAGTAGACTAGTAAAGCAACCACTTTTCTAGATTGTAGCGTACAGGTAATCCTCGCTAAACAATCATTTTACAATTGTTCAACACCCTGGCTATTATAAATGGTGCTGCCCCCCTCCCCCCATGTAATAAGCTTTACAACCCATCACATGTTCTGCAGTCACATGATTGCAATTCACGATGGTTTTTTGCCGGTTTTTAGCAAAAAATGCCCATTCAATTGATTGCTTTTACTTATGGTTTTACTTAACTACATCATTTGCTTAACAATAGTGATGGTCACTTAATGACTGCCACAAAAAAGGCCAGAATATTATTTCCGATCATGTATATGTCTCAGTTTATGACTGTTACAATTTACGACTATAATTCTGTGGCTACAAGTCAAGGACTACCTGTATTCATTCTATATGTGAATGTGAAAGAACTGCAAGAAAAAACATGTCTGTTCAGCCATTGAACTTTTATTCCATATTTCTACCAATGAAATGCACTCAAAGCAGCTGCAAAATTCATGGGACAGATTTTATATCGGGCATTTTTATGGGAAATCAAAGGGTGAAATTGTCAGCACAGCTGTTTAAGAATTATCCTATTGATTAATGTAGAAATGAGACAATCATTGCTATTGAGACCACATTCTTTTCTTTCACTGTTAGTGTGGGACAAAGCATAAAGGCTATACAAGTTCTTTTACAAAAAGAAAAAATGATGGAAATTGTAATAGTAAAACAGAGGCTTTACCTTGAGTAGTTAAACATATTCTGATTTACGTTTAATAAAATTCAGATTTCAGCATTTATATATGCCATGCTTTGCAGAAAAAGCCACCAACTTCAATAATAATAATTTTTACTTACCAAAATAATTAAACCTCTCTATAGTGTTGCCATTTGTTCCCAACATTAGAGCTTCATTTATATTTTCCAGGATCCCAGGCAAAACCTACATGATAATAGCTTTTCTAACAGTGGGGACTATGGGTTTATCAAATACCTCCTTAGGATATCTGAATTATCCTACACAAGTAATCTTCAAGTGCTGTAAACTGATCCCAGTTATGATAGGAGGAGTCTTTATACAAGGTATGGCTTATTCTTGCTATTGATTGCTATTCATTTCAGAAAAATAACCTTGTAAAGACCCAGTATTGGTTTCTCCTGCCCGCCCGCCCCCTCCCCCCCATCCTCCATAAAAAGTCTAGAGGACTTAAATTTAGGTCAATAGGAAATGTGCATGAAAACAAAATGAGAAACAAGGCCTCAAATCCAATTATGCTCTCCAAGGAACATTTATATACCTTGCACACTGTTACTAGCGAGAATTGCAAACTATTTTCTGCTATCTTAGGCTGCTGACATAAATTTAAGATATGATTGGTAAAGTATTTGAAACTGCCTTGTTATAAGAATATTTTACCTGCTTTTGATTTAGCCTGCCTAAAATGTAGAGAGAATATGCGTAAAGTACAAATAATTTGTTAAGTGCTTTGGATTAATTTAAAATCCCATCACTCCTATAATATATGAACATCCAAAGTATGTTGTGAAATACAAGAAAAGAATGCTCTTTCTCTTCTTCAGTAATCTCAGAGCACATCACTATGTTCCTAGCCCTTTTGTGTGCTTGTTGATCATGCCACTTATGAGCCACTTCAGTGATACTAAATAGTTAATTGACTGATTATAACTATGAGGAGGACAAAGTAGAATGCTTATGAATCATATGAGAACTCTTGCACAGGGAAGACAAGCACAAAAGAATAATATCCCTTATTGATAAAATCCATCAAGTCTAGTGTTTTTTTCCCCCCTTTTTGCTTTCACTATAATAACCTATAGAGAGAAAGCTGGTGTATTTTTGTGAAAATTATTATCTGTAGAAAACTGCAAAAACTTCCTTTGAACTTCATTCTTAGAATGTTTTTAAGCAGCAGGTTCTGCTTCTGAAATTTGCAGTAGTTATTTAGCTGGATTAACCATGGAACAGTAATAGGTGGATTAAGTGATAACAATTAAATTTGAAGTCAAATGTTAAAATGATTTCAAGGCTGAAATCCTCTTTCCTACTTAAATTGCAAATTTCAGACTTAATGTCTTTTTCAGATACCTAAAACAGCCCAAAATGAGATGAAGTATACCATTTGAACCCACTTATGATAGAAGGGTTTAGATGGCGTGCAAATGGCAGTATAAGCCAGGCAGAGAATGCACATAAGCTCTCTGTTGTGAAATTGTGTCAGGATGTTGACATAAAAGGACTGCTTCATGTGTTAATTTAATGGCATAGTGAGTGTTTCAACTTAGTTCCTTCTCACATCAGTATAGGTAAATATATGTGATAACAAAACAGTGTGGAAAGAAAAAGTAACAGTAAGCTGCCAGAAGAGAGCTGTACCAATTTGCAAAAAAAAAAAAAAGTGTTTCACCTATTCTTGTCATTATATATAAATATAACACATTACTGCAAAAGATTTTGAAAATGTATATGATAATAAATGAATGAGTTTTTAAATGCCACAAAATTCACTGTTCTTTTTACTGTACGTATAATATATGGCTATCTCACTGATAACTACTGCACTGTTTGTTTGTGTGTGTGTGTGTGTGTGTAGAAGGGGGGAGAGAGAGAATATTGTGCAGTGTGGAAATAGCCCACATGAAAAGAAGAATATTGACATGAATGAGCTAAAAGTAGTCTGACTGAGATAGTATCAACATTGCTTCTTCTCTTCCCGCCCTTTTTTTTTTTTTAACAATACAGGGAAACGTTACAATATTGTAGATGTTTCTGCTGCAGTATGTATGAGCTTGGGCTTAATATGGTTTACTCTAGCTGATAGCACAATTGCACCAAATTTCAACTTGACAGGTAACTTTCATGTTTTGGAATTTTATTCTTTTTTAAATTTGGAAATACACGTTGTTTAACATAAGTGAACATATAGATAAAGTGAAACTATTGACTGATTGAATTCGGACCTTCTGTTTGAATTCCTGTAGGAACATGGAAAGTAACATAAAATAGAGACTCTTAGTTATTGAGGTCTAATTATCTTGATATTGACCCAGGAAATATTCTAGGTAGCTAGCACACACACACAAGCACACCTTGCATTACAGGACAGTGTCACCTTAAAATTGAGGGCATAGTTGGAAAGCACACAATTTAAATATTAAATTTTGGATATCATATCCTGTTTCATTAACTTGGGATTTGAATTTAAACATTTACAGTGCATTCAGAAACTATTTGGACCCCCTTCACTTTTGTCAATTTTGCTGCAGCCTGATTCTACAGTTGTGGGGGGGAAAATTATCATTAATCTACACTCAGTACCCATAATGACAAAGTGAAAACAGAATTTTAGAAATGTCTATAAATTTATTACAAAGAAAAAAACTGAAATATCATTATTTCACGCTAAAGAGATAAAACTAATTTCCTATTTTTCCTTGAATTCTTTGCGAGGTCTCCAACCAATTTATAACCAACTACTTTGAAATCTTTAAGTATTAGCTTAATTTTCTTCTCCCTCCCCCCCCCACACAACTGAGAACAAAGAGTATAAATGCTATATATTTCTGACAAGTGAATATTAATCTCTGTGGTTGAACTGTCAGATTTGCTTATTATTACAAAGTTTTTATATTCTATACATTTTCATAAATATGTATATCTTTTAAAATTGTAATTGTTGGCTATGTATGTCTATTCTTTAAATATATTCTCATTATACCCTTTTTTATTTTCCTGATTATTTGAAGGAGTGGTCCTTATATCTCTTGCCCTCTGCGCAGATGCAATTATAGGAAACGTGCAAGAAAAAGCAATGAAATTGCACAGCGGTTCTAATTCCGAAATGGTAAGTCTTCATTTTTTTTATAATGTCATTTAATTGATTGAGAAATACAGGGTTGAACTGTAGGTTTTTTGTTTGAAATCATGTTCTTAAAAATTCAGGTGAAAAATATTAGGCGAGATATTACTGGTTATATGGTTTATATCCATGATGGCGATCCTATGATACATGTGCTACAGGTGGCACGCAGAACCATATTAGTGGGCATGCCAGCTCAGCTCTGGGGCACATGCGCACGCCAGCCAGCTGATTTTCAGGCCTTCTGGGCCCACCAGAAGTAGGGAAACAGGCTGTTTCCTGCCTCTGGAGGGCCTGGGGGGGGGTGGGGACTCCTAGAGACTCCAAGAGAGGCTCCTAGAGACTCCAAGAGAGGCTCTGGAGGCTGGGGACAGCAAAAAATGTCACTTCCTGTCCCTCTGGGAGTTGGGAAATGGGCCGTTTCAGGCCTTTGGAGGGCCTCCGAGAGAGTGAGAAAGGCTGTTTTTGTCCTTCCCAGATAAATAGAGAGGATCTGGAACCAGGTAAGAAAGAAAAACGGGCCTACCAGGCCATCATGTGCCAGGAGTGGGGGGAGGGGTTGCGCGCGCATGCACGTGGGCACGTGCGCGCGTGATCCTCCCCTGCCCCCCCTCTCCTGGCATGCGATGGCAAAAAGATTAGCCATCACTGGTTTATATTCTGTTGCTCTGATCTAAAAGAATGATAAAACAATCTTTTCTTAGAAGATTTTAAAATCTTTTTCTTAAAATTGATCAAAGAGCTTTTCAAACATTCAGTTGTTCCAGATGGATTATGTATATTGATAGTATGTTATGCATTCATTAGCCTGTTTTTATTATCCTTCAGTTAGAAAGAAGGCTGCCACTACAGAGTTGTTTTAACATTTACTATGTTAAATGTAGCAATAGTTCTCAATAGCTGACATAGATTGATATATTGGAGTGCAGTTTTTAAATCTGTTTTCTTTATTTTTAAATCTGGTGAACAGAAAAAAGGAAGAACTTGTTTTAAACATTCAAGATGTCTCAAGATGTTTGATCATTGACTACGGTCACTTATAATTATAATTAGCCAGATTGTAGTATTAAATGTTACATTTGTAAATAGTATTGAAGCATAAGGTCCAGTGGTCACATTAGCACAGCTCAGTTTCAGTACCTTTTATTGGACATTTTGATCCCTGATAAATCCAAATTATGGAACTAGATCTGTTCAAAATATGGTCAGGCTAATTAAAAATAATTTTTGTACAAAATTCTAATTCAGTTTCTCAATCATTTATGTCTTACCACTAAGTTCACATTAACATTAATCTTCCACATAAAATGTTTGTACTTAATATTTTAATATATATTAGATATTCAGTAATGTCAGATTTTTTTTAATGTGTTTAGTCAGGGGCACCTATCAGTTTTCTGATTTCTGTCTCTGGAGTGAAAACAACATGCCCTTTAATATTGTGGCTATAGTGATATACTTCCTTTTTTTTTTTTTTTACAAAAATTATGTAAAATGGCATATTTTCTAAGAGATAAATTTGAATAGGAGAGAAAAATGCATTTTATTACTGTACTACCAAAAACAGTAAGCATTGATTAAGGTAATAGTAAAGATGCAATCACCCATTGATTTTGATGGAGATTTAAGAATGTGTTTCACTGAAATCAATGGATCTTAAACATATCTAACTTTGATTTCCCATAATGTTACTGTGTATAGCAAGGATTACAGATCACAGTTCTTCACCAGTATACTGTAGTGAAAGCCAAATTGTATTATTCACGGAATGTCCATAGTTCAAACTTTTGCTCCTAGACTTCTTGCCTGATTCAGATAACACATGTTCACAAATGAGAAAAATGGCAGCCAATGCACCTGAATATAATATAATATAATACCAGTAAAGGATTTTTGCATTTAGCATCTTGGGATATAGCAAGTCTTCTGCTGTAGTTAAAATGTTGGGATAAAATGTAAGTCCTTTGAAAATAATGGTTCAATATTTTTCAGAACCAAACTGGAAAATTTTCTCTAGTACCAAAACATTTCAATTTTTGAAACTTAATATAATACATATCTATTTTTTTCTTCCTAACATTTTTCCCACAAGTGCAGGGACCACTTTTTTCAGATCAACTAAATATTGATCCATTAGTTGCTACAGGGATTTACTGACATGCTTGTCACCAAAGCCTGTTTTTGTGGGCTGAGAGAAAGTGAGTAGCTGAAAGTCAGCCATCTGGCTTTCACGCCTAAAACAGGACTATAACTCACAATCTCCTGGTTTCTAGCCTGGTGCCTAAGGTTCCTAAACCAAACTGGCTCTTTAGGGCAATGCATGACACCCATTGGATAATTTTCCCAGGGCTGATCTTATTTATCTCATTTGCTGAGTGCCAAAATCTTAGTTATGTGAAATGCAGATCACTTAAAATATTGTGTGCTGATTGTTAGTCAAGTTTAAATTATTCAGAAACATCCAGCCTAATTGTGCCAGAATTTGCTTTCATCCAGTTTGAAAATGGGTAAAAAAAAATTGTACTACCTAAAGTGAATGTTTGCAGATCCACAGAGCAAATTTGTGGCATATTTAAAACAACAGAAGTTTAAATAATTTGTTTTTGTAATTATTCCAGGTTTTGTATTCCTATTCAATAGGTTTCCTGTACATTTTATTGGGACTGACATGTACTGCTGGCCTAACTCCTGCAGTAACATTTTGTTCAAAGGTAAATGTGTTGATTCTATTACAATTTTCATTATTGGTAAATGTAAACTTTGCATTTATGTGTTGTTGGAGTACTTATTGGACGAACCGTTTAATATTTTTTCCATTTGTGCTGTTTATATATATAAAATAAGAAAAATAAATTGTATTATTCATTAAGGCTGAAAGATAATTCCCTTCAACTGAACTGGGAATTATTTCTCAGTAGACACATTTAGCATTGTACAGTAATACAACAAAGCTTGAAAACTCTGTAATCACCCTCATCAGAATTACTTTATATTCTTTGAAATGTCAAGGAATGTTTATAATTTAATTATTGCTTTATCCATTATTCATCAAAAATTAAATACAAACTTTGAAAGCTTTAAGCACTTTTACTTTAGTTCAGGCAGCATATTAAAGACATTTGTTTCATTTTGCAATACCTCAGGGTTTGTTTAGCATTTTACTAATAATGTTATTATTGTTTTTGCAGCGCCCAGTTCAAACATACGGCTATGCATTCTTATTCTCCTTGACTGGCTATTTTGGAATCTCTTTTGTCTTGGCTTTGATTAAAATCTTCGGAGCTCTTTTAGCTGTAACAGGTATTACTGAGTTTATACATTTACAGGAGAATTGAATCAGACTCAATGGTGGGATTCTACCGATTCGCACCGGTTTGGTAGAACCGGTCGTTAAGTAGTTAAGCAGTTCGGAGAACCGGTTGTTAAAAGAAATCTCCTTTTGTTTTTTTCCACTTTACAGAGTTAATCCTGTAAGGAATTACAACATTCGGTCTTGTTTCCTAGCCTAATCTTTATTGCCCTGCCTACAGAAACTGCCTCTCCGGCAGTATGCCTAGATTTACTGTTGCTTCCGGTTCCAGAGGTTCTCTGAGGTTTTTTTTTTTTTGCTTGACTTTCTTAAAGGGGAAGGGTTGTTTTAAGCTTTTTACACCGCTGTTGGGAGGAAATACTCCCCTGTTGGAGTTCTTCCAGCCAGGGTGCAATGATCAGCACTTTGAAGAAATAATTGAATAACGAAGCAGAAGCTTTTAATGACAAGGAACCAAGATGAGTGACATTCAGCAAGGCTTATTGCCTAGCTAGAAAGATTGACATTCAAACGTGAGTTTACATACCCTTTCTGACTTTTGGTCTAAAACTGGTTTTGGTGAAGTTTAGTTCTGTGCTTGGTGATCTTTAATCCTGTGTTTAGAGATTTATTTATTTATTTATTTATTTTATTTTATTTGTATACCGCCCTTCTCCAACAGGACTCAGGGTGGTGAACAGCCATGGTAAAACATAACATATAAAATTTAAAAGCAATTTAAAAATATTAAATAATTTGGCTATCCAATTAAAACAACCTGGGTTAAAACCAATTACAAATTAAAATCGAAGGGATGGGATCAAGCCAGCCCGGCTAGGTGAAAAAGATGTGTTTTCAGGGCCCGACGAAAAGTCCGGAGGTCTGGTATCGTGTGTATCTCTGGGGGCAGGTCGTTCCAGAGGGCAGGTGCCGCCACAGAGAAGGCTCTCCCCCTGGGGGTCACCAGCCGACATTGTCTGGCCGATGGCACCCTGAGGAGTCCCTCTCTATGGGAGCGTACTGGCCGGTGGGAGGCTATTGGCGGCAGAAGGTGGTCTCGTAAATACCCCGGCCCTAAGCCATGGAGCGCTTTAAAGGTGGTCACCAACACCTTGAAGCGCACCCTGAAGACCACAGGAAGCCAGTGCAGCTCGCGCAGGAGAGGTGTCACATGGGAGCGCCCCGTCACTCCCATAATCCCCCGCGCAGCTGCATTCTGGACCAACTGGAGCCTCCGGGTGCACCCCAAGGGGAGCCCCATGTAGAGAGCATTGCAGTAGTCCAGACGGGAAGTGACGAGTGCTTGAGTGACCGTGCGTAGGGAGTCCCAATCTAGAAAGGGACGCAACTGGCGTATCAGGCGGACCTGATAAAAAGCCCCCCTGGCCACGGCCGTCATATGCTCTTCTAAAGACAGCCGTGTATCCAGGAGGACACCCAAGTTGCGAACCCTTTCCGTGGGGGCCAATGATTTGCCCCCAATAACCAGCGATGGCACCAGCTGGCTATATCGGGACGCCGGAAGCCACAGCCACTCGGTCTTGGAAGGGTTGAGTCGGAGCCTGTTTCTCCCCATCCAGGCCCGCACGGACTCCAGGCACCGGGACATCACTTCAAGGGCATTGTTGGGGTGGCCTGGGGTGGAGATGTACAGCTGAGTATCATCAGCGTACTGATGGAACTCCACCCCAAAGCCACGGATGATCTCACCCAGCGGCTTCACATAAATGTTGAATAGAAGGGGCGAGAGGACCGACCCTTGCGGCACCCTGCAGACAAGACGCCTCGGGATCGACCTCTGCCCCCCTGCCAACACAGATTGCGACCGGTCAGAGGTAGGAGGAGAACCACCGCAAAACGGTGCCCCCCACTCCCAACCCCTCCAACGGGTGCAACATGATACCATGGTCGATGGTATCAAAAGCCGCTGAGAGATCTAACAGGACCAGGATAGAGGAGCAACCCCTATCCCGAGTCCTCCAGAGATCATCCACCAACGCGACCAATGCCGTTTCCGTGCTGTGCCCAGGCCTGAAACCGGACTGGAGTGGATCTAGATAGACAGCTTCATCCAGGTACTGTGGAAGCTGCCGCGCCACCACACTCTCAACAACCTTCGCAATAAAATGAAGGTTGGAGACTGGACGATAATTAGCCAAAACAGCCGGATCCAGAGAGGGCTTCAGGAGGGGCCTTACTACCGCCTCTTTCAAGGCAGCCGGCAGACACCCTCGCTTAAGGAAGCGTTAATAATCCTCTAGAGCCAGCCTCATGTAACCTCCCGGGAAGCCAGCACCAACCAGGAGGGACACGGGTCCAATAAACATGTGGTCATGTTCAGCCGTCCCAGAATCCTGTCCACGTCCTCAGGAGCCACAGGATCGAACTCCTCCCAGATAACACTCTCAAGACCTGCCTCAGTCATCCCGTCTGGACTTACCCAGTCAGAGGCCAGGCCTTCCTGAATAAGAGCGATCTTGTCATGCAGATACTGCACAAAATCCTCAGCTCGACCCTGCAAGGGATCATCCTGCACTCCCTGATGGAGGAGGGAGCGGGTCACCCTAAACAGGGTGGCTGGGCGATTATCTGATGATGCAATAAGGGCGGCAAAATAGCTATATTTTGCCGCTTTTATTGCCACTAGGTAGGTCTTAATATGAGACCTCACCAGCGTTCGGTCGGATTCGGAACTGCTGGTCCTCCAACCGCTCTCCAGGCGTCTTTTCCGGTGCTTCATCTCCCTCAGTTCGTCGGAGAACCAAGGAGCTAGGTGAGTTCGGCGCCGGGTCAGAGGCCGCAAAGGCACGACGCGGTCCAAAGCCCCGGCGGCCGCACTGTCCCAGACGGCCACCAGGACTTCAGCCGAGTCATGAGCCAGAGTCTCAGGAATTGTCCCAAGCTCCATCTGGAACCTGTCAGGATCCATCAGGCGCTTGGGGCGGAACCACCTAGTCGGTCCCGCCTCCCTGCGGCGGGGTGCAGCGGTTAGAAAGTCAAGTCGAAGGAGCGAGTGGTCAGACCATGACAAGGGTTCGATGACTATATCCCCTGTATCAAGACCACTCGACCACTGACCAGAGATAAAAACTAAGTCCAGAGTGTGCCCATCTGAGTGAGTAGGGCCATGAATTAACTGAGTCAGGTCCATGGCTGTCATGGAAGCCATGAACTCCCGAGCCACCTCAGACGTTTCACCGATAGATGGCAGATGAGATAATTTTCCCTATTCAGCTTTATTTGGAAGGAAAAATGTTAATTTTTAAGCAGCTTTGGAAATCTGACTAGTTCTGTGTCTATTTGTTCTGGTAATTGGTTTAAAAAGCAACAGATACTCTGTTTGCTGCTTTGCTTCATTCTGGAGAGCTTAAATGACCTCTCTGCTAAAGGGTTTCACTTTATGAGCAAGAGTTGGCTGCTGATAGTATCACTGCATTTTAACTATTTTAATTCCTCAAGGTGCTCTGGCACCCTCCCTGATTTGCAATTCCAGTTTGCAGGTATTTCTAATCTAATGATTGGTATTTAGGGCAGCTTTTTGCAAGCAAAAAAGCTTTTTGTATTTTTGTACAGGTAATCCTTGATTTACAACAGTTACAATGGCACTGGAAAAAGTTACTTATGACTGTTTTTCACACTTATGACCATTGCAGCAAACTGTCATTAGGGCAAAGAAGCGATGCCACATGACCACCTGGCCACGGCCACCAGGTCACATGAAGCACCGCAGTTGTGAAATGAGTGACACAGTTGTTAAGAATGCTGCAACAGGCATAAATGATGACCAGTCATAAGTGCAAGGACCGGTCAAAAGTGCAAGGACCTGTCAGAAATCACTTTTTTCAGCCCTCTGGGTAGTCCTTTTGTGCATATGGACTACTCAGAGGGCTGAAAAAGTTATTTTTGACCGGTCCTCGCACTTAGAACTGTCCTCACATTTTATATTTTGCGCCCTATCTTGTCACCGTGGTGAAGAGAAGCAGTTGTGAAATGAGTGACACAGTTGTTAAGAATGGTGTAATGGGCATAAATGATGACCAGTCATAGTGTGAGGAACTGTCAGAAATGACTTTTTCAGCCCTCTGAGTAGTCCCTATACACACAGCCACGCCCACCCAGTCACATGACCAAGCCACGCCCACCCAAATAAGCCACACCCACAGAACCATTTGTTTAAAAAATTGAATCCCACCACTGATCAGACTCCATGTTTGGATGAAATCTTTAAACTATGTAATTTCTAGATGTTTAAAGTAGGTTGTTAAAGGTCCTCTACTACAGATACAAAGTGCTGTACATTTGCCCTGATGTCTATTCCTTTATTCTGGATTTTTTTTTTAATTCAAGTGGTGAGACTGTAGATTAAAAGCATGTAATGTTTTCATTTTGATATAGATGCTATTGGGGAAAAACCAATGTAACTTCACATTCATATAAGAGATTCATGAAATTCCATAATGAGCTATGGAAAAGAATAATCAATATATTTTAAAAATTATACATTTACCTGGTTAGAAATATCTTTTTATCTGACTTTTTTTTAAAAAAAATATTTAATAGAATTAGCAATAGCAATAGCACTTAGACTTATATATCGCTTCACAGTGCCTTACAGCCCTCTCTAAGAGGTTTACAGCGTCAGCATATTGTCCCCAACATTTTGGGTTCTCATTTTACCGACCTCAGAAGGATAGAAGGTTGAGTCAATCTTGAGCCTGTAAACTGCCAAACTGCAATGTTAACAATGATAAATGATCAAGAAATCTTCTGATGGGATTAAAACAGGTGATATTCACCACAAAAAATATTCTCAATCAATTGTAAAATAATTCAGGTAAAAAAAAAACCAAACATAGTCATTAAAATTCAAAAGACAAGAACAGAAAACTTTAGAAGGAGTTTGGATATATCTGTCAGATAGATCCTGAACTACTTTCAACATATTGAAATTACATTTGATATTTGATTGGCCCATGAATATTTTTTTTCAGGAAAAGTGGATCAGTGGTTTTTATCAGTCTTCCTTAGAACACATAAAGGATTAAGAATGATATTTTGAGTAACATTGCATTAATTTAGACATAGTCATTCAGCTTTCAGCCATATAGCTTTCAGCTCAAACATATTAAATATATATATATATTTCTAGTTTTCTCATTTTTCAATAGTTGTAAGATGGAACGAGCATATGCTATATTTATATTCCAGTTTCTTTTCTGGCACCAGCAGCTGGATGACCTGGGACAAATCACTTTTCTCTCCTTGTATCTCCATTTTTCAATCTTAAAATGACCATAAGTCCTTTGAGGTGGGGGGTGGGGGACAGAAAGTTCTGTTTCTGTTTCATAGTATAGAAGGAAGGCCTTCATAGGAAGGCATTGTGGCAGAATAAGATCACAAAATGGTGAAAGACTGATAAGAAGTCCTACAACTACAAAATCTTGTACTGAATCACACAACTGAAAAGCTTTCTTAGCAATTTGCTGATATTGTGCCTACAGGGGAATTCCACTGTGATATTTGACTATTCTATTGCCTAAAGAGGTTGCTACAAGTTAATAACCAACTAGTATACCACAGTATGTGTTAGATAGCCTTAATCACCTATCTTCTACCAATTAATATAATTGCTTGTCGCCATAAATAAGTTTCATTCTGAGATGAAAGCTTTCACTTTAATAACCAGTTATAATCATTTACTTTCAAGACACTGTGTTTCAGTATTATTGATTACTTTACATTCCCATTCCTTGATCTAGTGCCTTCTAACTGTATCAAGCTTGAACACTAGAGCAATTATCAGTAAGAATGTTTGTTGGACAGACCGGTTAGTGCATATGGCAATTGAAATCAAGCAATACAAGATTTAAGAAGCTTCATATTTATATTTTCTATACTGTTCTTTAAGAAGTTGTATTTTAGTTGGATTGGAATGAATGTATAACGTCCTTCTGTGGTTTTTCTTTCCTTCAGTTACAACTGGAAGAAAAGCAATGACAATTGTCCTTTCTTTTTTGTTTTTTGCAAAGCCATTCACATTCCAGTAAGTATTTCTCTTCTATCATATTTTTGTGAAAATTTAATGTTTTATTCAAACACATTCATAAAAACCATACAGTTAAATAACATAATGAGAGATTTGCACTAGATCATCCTGAACATATGCACCCACAGATGTTTACCTGTTTTCATACATTTGCTAAGAAATTGAGCAGAAATAGAAAGTACTGAAAAACAGACAGGCAACTGAGCAAATGGCTGTAGACATTTCTGCTGAAAAGCACAGACGTGAAGATTAGTTTAATGAAAGAGTAGCCTGGAAGGGGCTCCTTGTCTAATGAACATTAACCATTTTTTAGAACACCTAAATAAGACTTCTCTTTTTTTTTTTTCCTTATTCATCTTCTCCCACTTCCATCCCCAGCTTGTTTCTCCTTTTAGGATGGGTTTTGTGTTTGTGTGAGAGAAGGAATATTTGATAGATGCAGATTAAGGATTAATTAACTTTTTAATTTAAATCAGTATTTATTGATTCAGTTAATGCTGATTTATTTTTGTGTTTGTTTGTTTTTTCCTTTTTCTACATTGAAACGCATGACTCTACATTGAGTCATGCATTTATTAGGTGAAAGGAATCTTCAAGATTGATTTAGGCTAGAATTGGTAAACCATAGTAGCTCAGGTGAGGAAGGTGGTTTGTGTTTTTCTGCTTTTTTTCCTGTCTGTTTTTATCTTGTGGTTGGAATAACTCAACATCCAATGCGGGGTTGTCTTCCTTGAGGTGAATGCCATATGTCTCTCTTTTCTTTACATGCGGATGCACTTGTAAGTTCATCCATTGGTAAATATACATTATTACACTCGAGGCCTTTATGATGGTGATGTTAGAATTATTTAACAGAACAATACAGATAAGGTTTAGTTAGATCTTATGATGATCATTCTCAAACAACGGCCAAGAACAAGTATCTAATACTACATCTTCATTATTATCATCAGACCTGCTTCTTTAATCAGTCTCAGTGAGCAGGAAATAATTCTGTCCTACATCATCATCTGGTTAAGTTCCAAGATCAGTCTACAGTCTGAATGTAGAGATGTAGAACAACTAGTCTTAAAAGGTTATCTGTTTTTATGAGAATCTCAGCTTTGGTAACCTGGATTTATCAAGATATTTTAGACCACAACACCAATTATGGGTCATACGAACAGATAGGTGATATAAAGATCAGTGAGGGTCAAGTTGGAGCAGAGACCACTCTACACCGCCCTCCTTCTGGTGAAACTCATGCATAAGGATAGCAATTGAGCTATTGTGATAACAAAGTTTTCCCATTCCCCTAAAAATAAATATCAGAATCAAATGTACTCTCACTTGTAAATTGGGGGGGAAAGTAAGTTTGAGAAACCTTGGTTTCATTATAAAAATTATCTTACTTGAAACAGTAGAAATTATTTTTGTTATAAAGAAATGAAGGAAAAATAAATGAAAGTATATAAGCTATTTTATAATATATAAAATAAATACAGGTAGTCCTCGACTTATGATCACAATTGAGCCCAATTGTTTATGTTGTTAAGTGAGACATTAAGTGAATTTTACTCCAGTTTACATTTCCTGCCACAGTTGTTAAGTGAATCATTGAAGTTGTTAAGTTAGTGACACAGTTGTTAAGTGAATCTGGCTTCCTCCTTGACTTTGCTCGTCAGAAGGTCACAAAAGGGGATCATGTGACCCGGGAACACTGCAACCATCATAAATATGAGTCAGTTTGCCGAGTGTCTGAATTTTGATCACGTGACCTCGGGGATGCAACTTTGAAAAATGGCCGTAAGTCACTGTTTTTCAGTGCTGTAACTTTGAACGGTTACTAAATGAATTGTTGTAAATCGAGAATTGTCTATATATTCTATACCTCATTTCACTTCTACAGCGGCTGTTTTGCTTTCCATATGAATCTTAACATATTGGACTATTACACGTGCAGTTGCTAATGTGATTCTTTTTCTTTCACCCACCCCTTCTAGGTACGTGTGGTCAGGTTTATTAGTTATCCTTGGCATATTTCTCAATGTTTACAGCAAGAATATGGATAAAATCAGATTGCCTTCACTGCGCCGTCTCTGGAATAAATCTCTGGAAGATAGAAAGACAAGGACGTTATCCCAAACAGTATAGAACTGGCTTGTGCCATGTGTTGGCATTAGACTGTTTGCTTCTGTTCTTTCCTTGCAATAGTCTGCAGGCGAATCCTTTTCCAAAGGGAAGGATGTTAAAAAATACCAAAGGCATTGAAGGCGCTTTTGTCTACTACCAGAGGACTGAAGTCAGCTTGTCTGCAAAACTTTGTTTGAGCACTTGGATTCCCTTCTTGGAAGGGATTGGTTGAATGATGTCATTGGACAAGGAACATGGGAAAATAATAATTCTTGGGAAAGCTGCTATTGAAATTGTGTCTCTGAACGGAACACTTGGGAGAGTGAGTTATGTGATTAATTTGGGCATTTTAATTGTATAAAAGGTGCTTTGGCAGTGGCTGAAATCAGTGGACCTTGTTTTATTGTTGGAATGTGTTTATTTAAATGTAATGTCTTAATCGATACAAATCAAAACTTGATCGATAAAAGTGAAAATTTAAACCTCCAAGGTTGAGATCATTATGCCAGTTTTTTTTTTCTTTTTAAATAATAAAATCTATCCCAGATTGTTTTTAAAACCTTTGTTCTCATTGTTTTAGCGCTGTGGATTTCTTCTGAGAAAAACTAGAACTCCTCATAAGGGCTTTTAAAGAAGAGAGTAATTTTCTATCTATGCATTTCCTATCACATAACTGGTTCTTTTATGAAATTATCTTTCAACTAATGTTAACAAGTAGGGCTGCACAAATGTTCTGAGCTGAGAACGGCCATTTAAGTGTTCCAAGCTTGAAATAAAACTGAAGCATGCTGAGATGTCTCTTTCAAGATTAAGACAATGCAAAATTGGTCCAGGCTTAAAACAATAACTTGGCTACTTTGAATTGTCATATGACGAATATTCTGATCATAAAATGTAACCTTGAACAAACCATTGCAACCTTATAACAAATTGTCCTGACTTCAAATTAGACAATATAGAGTATTCTGAGCTTAAAGCAAAATTTAAATATTTCACTTTTGTTCTGATTGAACATTACAATGCAATTTTTTAAGGAGGATCATTTTGTTCTGATCTTGGGAAAAAAAATACATTCCTCATTTTATTCATATCCCCACTTATGAACAAGTATTCAGAAAAGTTTGATTAGCCAGCCAATTTACATCATTCCACAAGATACTGTTTCTTGCTACTTCTGCATATTGAAATGAAAGAAAAGAAAGTTGGGAAAATAGCTAGAGAGTAGCAGATGAATTATTTTGTACATTTTTTGATATTGTAATTAAGTTATAAATTCGATCATTCTGTGGAGTTTTCTGTAGTGTGTATTTTTTTAAAGCAAATGCTAAAATACTATGCCACACTAATTTTATAGCTAAATAAATTATGCACATGAGTGATACTTTGCATATCTTACATACATTATTATTATGTTTTTGTAAATCATGAAGATCCAAGACATTTTGTGCAGAGATGGTCAGAAGATCTCAAGCAAAATCTTCTATCCTAAGCAGCTGAATATTCCATTTAGGGAATGAAGCGTACATTTTGAAGAACATAATATTGTACTCCCTATCAATTGTTTTTAGGTTTTGTAGGAGATAGCAATAGCACTTAGACTTACATACTGCTTCACAGTGCTTTACAGCCCTCTCTAAGCGGTTTACAGAATCAGCATATTGCCACCAAGAATCTGGGTCCTCATTTTACCAACTTTGGTAGAGTAGAAGGCTGAGTCAACCTTGAGCCGGTCAGGATCGAACTCCTGGCAGTCAGTAGAATTAGCCTGCAATATTGTATTCTAATGACTACGCCACCACAGATAGGTAGTTTGTAGCATTTTATCATAATTTGTAAAAGGATTGTTTTATTTTACACAGAGATTAAAAAAAAAATCAGTTGAAATTTTTTCTTTGGCTAACCTAGTTCTTATGCATTTCATAAGTAACGAACATTTGTTAATTTTTGGTTGGCAGCATGAGCTCAGCATACATTTTACATTTCAAAAGCAGAATGAAAGCAACTTACATTTTCTACTCTCATTAAAAAAAGATAACCAGTATTGGCATCAAACTTAATTTCCCAGTTTCTTGGCTGAAATCGTGAGAAAAGAGCTCACTTTGGGCAAATGAAATCTATAGCACAGCACTGGTTTATTTAAACTTCTCAGCTGTCCTACTCTCAAAAGCTGAAGAAGAGATTAGAAAGAACACTGCGTCAAAAAGGATTAATTAAAAAACATTTTTTTCCTGTTCTTTATAATCTTTTTTTCTTCTTCTTCTTTAAGCATAGGGTATTTTGTGCCTCACACTCCCTTTGCCCAGTTCATCTGGTTTGGCTGGCCTCTGCTATTTCCTGAGCCTTGTGCAATAAATAATGGGAGATGTCTAAAGCTCATCACAACTGCAAATAGGGTGGTGCGGAACCATCATCCTCTCAAAATTGCCACAGCAGGAATAGTTGGCAGCTCATCTATTACATCCATTACTCCAACACAACCCTTCCCTATTTGTCCTTGGCTATTGTAAAGCAGGCTGCTAAGGCAGAGATCCTTGACAAAGCCTTAGTCTTGCTTGTATTTTATAAGGCTTTTTCCCTCCAAGGAGCAAAACAGACTTGTGTACTTATGTAACACATAGCCCATAATTTGCCACTATATATGCTTGTTCCAGGGACAGCATCCATTCCCAGATGTCCGCCTTCCCCATCCCTATTCCCCAAGTCTAGAATATACCAGTCAAAATGCAGGTGTTGCATTGTTCTATTTTCACAAAAGGCCAATTAGAGAATGGCAGCCAGGACCACAAGTTTAAGTCCTATATAATGAGAAATCCTATAAAAAGAAAAGGGTTAGAGTCAAAGAGATCTTCCTATGATTTCCTTGCTATTACACCTTCCAAATATCTGAATTCCCTCCAGAGCAAAACAAAAGGACAAGACCAATGTTTCTGTTCTCCTTTCGAAATATGTTCCAACTGTTCCTCCTCTTTGCTCTTTGTCCTCTCTAAATATTTGTCTTGATTTGTTCTTCTGTTAACTGTTCGTTTAGGGTATCTTACAAAATAATTTTAAGTATCTCCACGTGAACAGTAAATCTTTCAGGTTTCATCCCGCTGTCCCCATTGATCTCAAGGTATTTTATCTGCATAGATATGAATATCTATCACACATATCTATCCACGTGTCTATTTATGCATGTTTATTTTATTTTATTTATTTATTTCATCAGGTATGTATTAGATAACAGATATAAGTATAAACACGATTATGAATACATGAAATGAATACAAATAAAAGGGTACATTAGGCCAGGGACAGTAGGTATGCTAGTGCGCTTATGCACTCCCCTTAGAGACCTCTTAGGAATGGGGTGAGGTTGACAGTAGACAGTCTTAAGGTTAAAGTTTTGGGGACTTGGGGAAGAAACCACAGAGTCAGGTAGTGCATTCCAGGCATTGACCACTCTGTTGCAGAAGTCATATTTTCTGCAATCAAGTTTGGAGCAGTTTACCTTAAGTTTGTTTCTATTGTGTGCTCCTGTATTGTTGTGATTGAAGCTGAAGTAGTCATTGACAGGTAGGACATTGTATCAGATAATTTTATGTACTACGCTTAGGTTGGACCGAAGGTGGCGAAGTTCTAAGTTGTCTAAGCTTCTTCTATTCTATTCTTCTTCACTTTACATCCATCACTCTTGTAATTGCTGAGCCCAAAGAGCAAATGTTACAATTTTTATTATAGCTAAAATGATTTTGAAACATTATTAAAATCATAAATAATACATTGTTATAATTTAGCCATGTGAAACACAATCCATGTGTTACAATGCATGTATTACCATACCACATATCACTATTTTCATTGGTGGATTATTAGCAGTCTATGAATACTTCTGTAATTTTCCCAAACTTCAGAATCCTTCCCAAGTTCCAATTTGTGTAGAATTGCTACTTGAGACAATTGCTCTGTCGTAACAAAAGGCTGAACGTTCTTATCAAGACCACTTTTTCTCAGCATAGTCTCCCTAGATAGTTATTAGATTATTGTTCACAACCAAGAGAGTTGTAGACCAAGGCCAGACTGAAGAAGGCATGTGTAGGCATTCCAAAGATGCTTTTTCAGGAGGCAACTGGGCTTTCTTGTTTTTTCTTTGAAGATGCTTCTTGGATGAGAAGCGAAACACAAAAACCTCAAAGTCCAGTTGCCTCCTGAAAAATCACCTTTGGGACAACCATGACCTGGATGACCGAGAATCTCTACAGGCATGTGTAGGGCAGGGGTGGGTTCTAAATTTTTTTTACTACCGGTTCTATGGGCGTGGCTTATTTTGTGGGCATGGCTTGATGGTCATGTGACAATTATTTAGGATTTAGTGGAGGTACTGGTCTACCAGGCTTTTAACTGCTTGCAGAGCTGTACCGATCTACCCATTTATTTTTGCAGGCACCGGTCTACTCATCTATTTTTGCAGGCACTGATCTACTCATGTATTTTTGCAGGCACTGGTCTACTCATTTGTTTTCTTTTAACACTGATCAGCTGTACAGCGGCCCTTTGAAGCCCCGTGGCAAGAGTTTAAACAGTTTTTTTCCCTCTAGCCATCAGCTGGGACTCAGGAGGCAGCAATAGATTGGGGATGGGGCCAAATAAAAGGTAAGAATAACGCGGGGGGCAGGGGGGCAGAACCGGTTCGGTGACATCATATCATGACCACTACCAGCTCGGCGGAACCGGGCCAAACCGGGAGAAACCCACCACTGGTGTAGGGAGTTGAACAACATGAAGAGAGCTCAGAAATAAAAAATCTGACCATATATTTTTTTTAATTCAAAGCAAATTCAAAACATACACATCATCCTTACCTGCAGTGTAGTATCATATAGTTCTATATAATGAATCTGTTAATTTGCATCACATTACAAATAAATCAACAGAAAATAGATATAGCTTCCATTTTGAGGGGTGGAAGATATTAGATATGAAGAAACATAGCATAATACTGATATCATTTACCTTCTAGCAAAAATCAGAACTGACTGAATGTATATACGTGGCAATGAAACATGAGTTCCAGGTGGCTTTTGCCAACCTAAGGCTCTGCTAGATGCCACAACATTACAGCCACTGTTGTACTAAACAGATTCTAAAACAAGGAAATGCAAAAATGCCCAATTAAAAATATTCAGGCAACTAAATAGCAGCATAACCTTTGTGAGCTGAAGATCACTTCACCAGATGTGCAGAGTGCCTTATGTCTTTAATAATGAGTTTAATAAAATTCATTAGCCCAAAAAAAGAGGTGCTACCATATTCCTTCTAATTTTTGGCCAACCTAGACTATGATGGCTTTCCTACGATATTTCAAGCAAATAAAGCAAAATGTGAATTTTATACATTTCAACCACAAACCCAGGCAATTTTTAGAAATGCTGTTATAAAATTCTCCATCTCTCTTTCCTATTTTCATAAAAAGGCAGGAACATGAGCAGTGTGGTAGCCTATCCGTGAAAACACTCGCCTCCCACTCAGAAGTTTGAGAATTCAATGCTAGGTAGCAACAGATGTTTCTCTCCAAGGGCACAAAGAAAAAAATATCTGCTGTGAACTCCGCATAGGCATCAGGAAAGGTATCCGGCACATAAATGCTTAGCTCCATCCAGTCACCCCAACTCTACCCCGAATTAAGTTCAGGGACATAAAAAGGGAGAGAGGGTTGGGGTTGTTGGTTTTTTTAGTTCACAAAGGCGTGTCCAGTTGAATAGCTGAAACTGGAATCATCAAGACATTTTGACCGAAAAACCAGTGTCATATTTTCCTGTCAACTACAAAAGGGACTAGATTTTAAATGTGGGTATTTACTAAAACATGCTTCCAAGTGGTATGTACACGCTTTAGATATTAATCAAACCACCTCAGTGAGAATAAATTGAAACTACACAAAATAATTTCTAGGTGGCTTGTGCCCTTAGATTTCATGGATTAGCAAGTGGCCTGGAAAGCGACCCGGGCTATTTTTCATGCTTGCACAGTAGAGATTCGCCATCTCTTTCAGGTCCGTCTCCTTGTCAAGCACGCAGACAAAAGGAGGAGGAGGAGGAGGGGAGAAAGAGAGAACGACTTCCATGCACTCCATTCATGTCAGTCCTCAACAACTTTAACAGCACGAATATTCTGCAGTCAGTCATGAAAAGAAATTTTTAATAATAAATATCTAACAATTAATGGGCTGGTAGCTGCAGTTGTCTTGAGGGCATAATATCTAATTTCCTTGCAATGTCTCATATCCTTACTTTTCACGCTGCAACAGTCTATCATTAAAACCGAATGCAGGTTTCTATCACTTTTATTTATTTTTCAAATCAACTTATAAATCAGTGCCAGGCCTTGTTACAGATGAGTTCC